TTATAAATTTTAAAAATAAATATTTTTTAAATATATATATTGTTTTATATTATATATTTTTTATATTATTTAATATATTTAAATATTATATATTTTTTATATTTAATTCCACCAAAAACTAACTGAAAAACTTGAAGTCAAAGAAGTTACATGATGCCACCATTTTGGAGGAATATAAAGCATTTCTCCAGGTTTTAAATAAGTCATTAAACCTTTTGCTTTAATAAAATTAGGCCATTTTTCATAATTTGGATTTAAAGGATCAACTTGTGCAGTATTGTTCAATAATCTTGTATCATATGGATATAAATTCGATGAATCATTTGGATGATATAAAATAATTCTTTTATATCCAAATACCTAAAATGCAACAAAAAAAATCAATAGTATAATATAAATTAATACATATTTATATGTATAAATTAACATATATTTTAATATAATAATTTAAAATAATTTAATTTATATATTATTATAAAATTTTTATACTTGACATAAAAAATTATTTTTGGGATCAAAATGCAAAGGTGAAACAGTTCCATTAGGTCCAAACCAAACATTTATATCTGGTTGTTTTACATCATCATTATCTGTAAAATTACAATATTCAGGAATTGTAAAATCATCTTTCAATTCAGGAATCTGAAATTATTATTATATTTAATATTTAAAATTTCATTTGAAATATTAAATAATTTAAAAAATATAGAATAAAACCTGTTCAAACAATTGATGCTGAGCTAAATAACCAATTTGATCATTTTTTGTTAATATATATTTTTGTAAAAATTCTGAAAAATTAAGAAGTTGTTGTGACCAATTTTCATCAGTATAACGTGAACCAATTTCAATAGGTACCAATCGATTTCCAGCCACATCAATTAAATACTTTAAATCCTTCCATTGTTTTAAAGCTTTCCAATGTTTAATACAATCTAAAATGTATTTTATATATATATCATAAAATTAAACTAAAATTAAAATATTATTATCAAGTGATATGAATATAAATATAAAAATAATATATAAAAAATAATAATAATTAGAAATTTCAAAAATTCAAATTTTTTAAAGTTTTAATCTATCTAATCATTTTAATCTATCTATTTTTATTAAATTTTGTATATTTTTTTATTTAAAATAATACATTCACATTATTATTTAAAATCTTTATATAATGATGAAGTAAAAATTTTCATGAAGATAAATTTAATATTTGAAAAAATATTTTATTAATTGCAAAATTAAATTAAAAAAAATATTTTTTACCTTTTAATATTGCAGGTACTTTAGGCATAAATATTTCTTTGTAAAATAGTTCCATTGAGGGTTCAATAAATTGAGTAATTTCAATAAATCCAGGTAAAATAAAATCATATGAATTTTTAGAATCAATATTTAATTTTTTTAAATCCAATATTTCTGTTGATTTTGCTATAAAATATAATAAAAAATATTACATAGAATAATAAAAAAAAAAATTACACAACATAATTTACCATTACTTAATATTTATTATATTTATATATACTTAATATTTATATATTTACTTAATATTTATTATATTTATTTTTTAATACTTACTGATATAATTATTCAATTCTCTTGCAATTTTTGGTAATAAATCAGGTATATTTGGAAGTGGTGCTCCTAATAAAATACCTTTATCAATTTGCTGAATAATATCCTTCAATAAAATTATATTTTTTGTAAATTCTTCGATATTATTATAATATTGAAATTCTAATAGTACTGTCTGTAAATATAGAATATTTAGTTGAAATTATATAATAATAAAATTAACATAAATTTTAAATATTATTTTTATTTAAAATAAAATTCAAAAAATAATTAATATATTACATTACTTTTAAAATAGTACATAAAGTGTAACAATATCGATATTCAATAGGAACAGATTGCCAATGGCCAGAATTTAATGCTTCCCATGTTTTATCCAAACAAGCTTCAATTAATATTAACGAATCTTTTGTCCATTTCATTGATGAAATTCTTTCATTAAAAAAAAATTAAATTATTAATATTATTTTTATGCAATAAATATAATTAAGATGCATAAAAATATATACATTATTAAATTTTTATATTACTATATTATAAATAATATTTCAATTCTAAATAAGTTATTGAAAATAACATTTAAATACATTTAAAATTAAAAAAAAGAAACATTAAATAAAATATTGAAATATTTTATAAAATTATAGAAAAAATTAATAAATTTCTATAATTACTTCATATAATCACATATTTTATTTACATCTTATTTTCAATGAAGAATTTTAAGCTAATGTTTATTGTTGCTAAATGTTTTTTCATTTCAATAGGTAAACAATTCTGCATATTCTCGTCAAATAAAGTCCAAGGAATTAATTTTGCAATAATTGTACAATTACACATTTTTTAAAATTAGGCAAATATAATAATAACTAAATAATAGAAAATATAAAATTTATAAAAATTATGAATTAAAATTATTTAATTTTCTATTAGTACAAATTTATTAATATGAATGTATCTAAAAAAATATAAATATTTATAATTCTTTGGAAATAAATAATTATTTATATAATAATAAGTACTACATTGTCAAATACGGAATAAAAATTTTAGGTTAGTTTCATAAACAGCATTATACATAGTATTATGTTTTAAATATTATTTTGTATCACTAAACGATAAATTTTAATATAATACAATTATCGATATTTATTTTGCCATTTAATATGGAATAACTAAATACAACTAAATAAACGAATATATCATTAAACAACACGTTATAAGATTTATCATTTTAATATAAATGTTAACATTGCTGCCATCTAACATTATAACTGTATAACATTTTTAAATTTATAAATGAAAATTTGAAGCCTATGCAAGCTTAAAATATTATTACGGGTGAAAAGAAAAAAATATGTGTTTAAGAATCATTTAATATAATAAATAATATTATTGATATAAAAAATATTTAGTCTAAAAAATAAAAAGAGCTTAAAATAATTTAGAATTATATAAAATTTTATATTAGTAAAACGAATCAAATATTAAGGTTAACCATTTTATTAATTTCATCAATTTTAGTTATTTTTTTTAATTTATATTTATATATAAATATTTTTTATTATATAAACTTAAATTATTTTTTTAATCTAAGATATTAATTTTATTTTTAATTTATATATTTATTTATATATAAATCATTTTTATCGTAGATACGATATTGACAAGTAAGATATTGATAAACATTTTATATTGTTACTGACTAACAACTCCTACAAAATTATTCTGCCAAAATAATAGAAGAGTATAATAATACACTTTTCACAAGTAAGAAAATTTTCTTAAAATATCTTTTTATTTTATTGATATTATAAAAATAAATTATTTTTATTTAGTATGATATTATTATATAATTATTAATATATATAATCTAATATATATTATTATATATATAATCTATAATATATTAATTGTATTTAAAAGTTGAATAAAATAAATTA